CGCCTGGACTGTGAAGGGGCAGAGCAGGCAAGGCCTGGAAGGACGTTCGAGGAATTCGATCTTTTTCCTCAGAGGAATGGACATCCTGCACAATGCTAGACAGGGTGACCAGAGCTAGCCTATGTTTTCAGCTGCTCACTCTGGCTGCTCTGAGGTGGCCAGTTGGGAGGCGGGAGGCCAAGGTGAGAGATATTGTGGTCCTTCAGCAGGAGGGGACTGTGGCATAGCCTGGGGGGCAGCAGCAGCGACAGGGAGAGGTCATCTGTGACACGCAGCGAGCCCTTGGGGGGCCCCAGCTCTGTCTGGGGTTGTTCTCTCGTAAAAGGAGGCGGGAGGATGGCTGCTGGGAAGGTGGGCTGGGGACGGTGGCTCTGGACCGCTTGGAGGTGGGAGGGGCGGGAGGACCCGGGAGCATGGGGGCTGCTCTGAGGGCTCGCAGGTCAGCAAGCCTCTTCCCTTGGAGCCAGGAGCCGGGACGACCGTGAGGCCGCGGGATGGGGGCCCGAGGGGCCTGGGGGTGGAGCTCTAGGCAGGTGACAAGGGAACCCCGGGTGTGGCGGGACCTGGGAGGCGGGTGGCGGGGTGTCCACCTCTGAGCCCGGTGCCTGTCCACCTCTGCCGGTGACAGGGAGCCCCCATGTACCCGAGAGCCCAGCTCCAGAACCAGGGTGGGGGTCTTGAGTCCAGGAGCTCTACCCACGCGGCTGCGAGCGCCCGGAGCGGGAGGAGGGTACAAAATGGATCCACTGAGTCAGGAGTCCAGGCCACAGCGTCAGAGCCTGTGGGGCGCGGGGGTGCACGTGGCCCCGGGCGGCTCCGGAGGCTGTAACCCTGCAACCTGGGACGCAGCCACTCCGCGACATGAGAGAAAGGAGGTCACAGCAGCAAGTGTGCGAGCCGGTGGGCACCACCTGAGGCGGCTCTGTTGTGGCCAGAGAGGCTGTGCAGCGTGAGGTCAAGCCCAGGGTGGACAGGCTGAAGGCCTAGGTTGGGGGAGGGTGTGGGGGGAAGCGGGGGAGGAGTGCAGTGCCAGCAATGACTCAGGGGCCAGCACCTCCAGGAGGAAAACGTCTCACTAACTGTCCCTCGGTGACAGGATTGTTTCCTGTGGACTGTCAGCCAGGCCCTGGGCAGCCGCCCCAGCGCAGGGACCCGGTGGACCGGCCTGGTGGCCGCTTCGAAGCTCCCATCAGAACAGGGCCCGGACACGGGAACTGCCCAGCACCAGACGGTGCCGACACGGTGGAACCCTCAGCTGCCGTCCGCAGCTCTGGACTCTCCTGGCTTTTCAGACAGGTCCCTTATTGGAGAACCTGGAACAGGTTCTCAGCCTGGATGATGCTGCCTGGGAGACACTGCAACCTCTGGAGACACCGCTGCCTCTTGTGGGCAGAGGGTAGAGACACCGCTGGACGTCCTACAGCTCACAGGCAGGCCCTCGGCAGAGAAGGGTCTGGACCAAATGGGGGGCATGGAGGCTCGTCCATCCTGTCTGAGCCCCTGGCTGCCCGTCTGGCACCTGCTCCCTCTCCTGACGGGCGTGGAGTTGGGCGGGGGTCACCAGGCCCCCGCTGCAGCTCGAAGGCAGAGGCCTGACAGTGGTCTTGGGAAGGCTCGTCTGCGCTCTCTGTAGGCTCTGGGGTGTTTCCAGTTTGCTCCAGCTTTTCTGGAGCCCAGAGAGGGGCTGGGAACAAACCCCACTGTCCCGGGGGAAGGTGAGGGGCACGTCTAACCCGGGAGAGTCATCTACAGGGCAGTTCAGCAGCCACACACTTGGGTACTGTGAACCCAGGTCCCATTGTCCCCAAACAGTGTGATAACCACAGAATTCCCATCATGATAAAAAAGGATCTTACTGGCACAGCCAGGTTGTGCGCACCCCGGCCCTGCCTGTTCGCAGCCTCAGGCCTCCTGGGCTCTGGGTGGCCTGGAGAGAGGACTTTGTCACCATGAGGACTGCTTCTCAAGGGCTGAGCACATAGGGGCTCCAAGACCTGCCTGGGGCAGTGCCATCTGGAGTGGAGGCTGAGTTTGAGGGGAAGTGACATGGGATATGCAAAGGCCCTGTGGCTGGATGGGGCGTGGCATCACTGAGAGCCTGTGGAGGGCCAGGCAGCAGCTGTGAGGGGAGCATGGGAGCGGCTAGAACTGGAGAGAGAGAGAGAGGCGAGGTGGAGGCCAGGATCCCCGCGGCTACTTTGGCTTTTGTCTCCTGGGAGGTGGAGATTAAAGTTTGTTTTCTTGTTTGGTTGGGGCCCAGTTGTTCTCCCTTCCTGACCCGGCCCTCGCCTGCTCCGCATGGTGGCACAGCCTCTGAGTCTCAGACACACTCTCCATCTGACCTCTGTAAACTGTGCCTTGATGGTGGGGTCACCCCACCCCTTACCCTGGCAGGTCCTGGGTCTCAACCGGTGGCTTTCTCATCCCCTGGCTTCTCTGGTCCCCTCCAGGCCCAAGGAGGGCCGAGGGCTCTCACTCGGGCCTTCCCTCTGACCTACCCGCTGGGTCTCTGTCATCACTGTGTGGCCGCTCCCTGGGAAGGTGAGGGGCTCCCTGGGAGGACGTCTCTTCCGGGAGTCCAGAGGCTGGCCGTCCTCCACTCTGGCTTTTCCCGAAACCCAATGTGGCATCCAGCCCCTGCATCCTGGGATTTGGGCTGCAGGGGCATCGTGATGCGCATCTGACCCGTCCGTCTCTCTTCCTTCCCAGCCTGTGGGGAGGAGGCAGGGGCAGCTCCATTCCCTCCTCTGTCTGAAGAGGCTCCTTGAACACAATGCCTCCCGAGGTCCGGACCCCGGGACCACGGGGCCCCTCTGCATCCAGAGCAGGCTCCAGGCCGGGGTCTGCTGGGTTGGCATGAGACGTCACCACAGATGGAAATACGCTGGTTGAGGTCCCGAATCACGTCCTTGTCACATCAGCACGTTTGGTCAGTGGCAGCGACTGTTGCTGTGATTGTCTCCCCATCTGAGAGGGTTTCCTTGGGCCTCTGTCGAGCTGCCTCCTCTTCCTCCTGAGCCGCACTGGGCTCCTCCCTGCCCGGTCCTCTCTGCCTCCAGGGTCTCCAGTTTGGTGAAGCAGCTCAGACCCCTACACCTCCAGCTTCTGATGACAGAGCCGGGCAGGGTCTCCTGGAGCCTCTAGTGCCCCTCGGGTCTCCGTCCCGCCTTTGGGTCCCTGTGCAGACCCGGTCCCGGCCCTCCACTCCCCTCTGCTGGAGCCTGCCCACCTGGCGATGCTCCTGGAGCTGAAACCTTCTAAGAAAAACGTGAGGGAGATTAAAGCCCCAAATGAGGTGGCCTCACGGCACAAAATGAAGACCACAAAGAGGTGTTCCCTAATTTATGGGGAGGATAAAAATAAGGAAAAGGAAGAAATGAATATTTGCTGAGTCCCTGTTACATGCCAGGCCCTTAGTAACCCGTCACGTGCGTTGTCGCATGACGGGGTTGTGACACTGGCACCTGTGTTGACAGGGCAGGGCCACGAGAGTCCAAGTGGCTCACCCGAGACGGAAGAGTGTGTGAGCGACAGAGCGGGACCACAGGACCCCAGGTCGCTGCCCCTGCTGAAATACAGACGCAGCTCAGGCAAGGCCGATGGGGCCCAGAGCAGGCACCTCCTGCTGTGCCCCAGAAGTCGGGATGGGGGCGGTTCCCATTGCCCCCAGCGGGGGTGGCAGGAGACCACTCTCCTCCAGCTCAGGAAGGGGCGTCAGGCCAGCAGAGCAGCTCCTCCACCCGCCACCCTCTCCACCTGCCCACCGTCTGGAAACCCACGTCTGTCCTCTCCAGGACCGGCCGTGGCCGGGTCAGAGAGCCTGGATGGGACAAACACAGCTCTGGACACAGCTGTGCCCATTTGCTTGGTCCTGGTCCCTGAGTCACACCATCCCAGGGCTTCAGGAGGACCCCATCCTGTCCCTGATCCAGCCCAGTGGGCTGACCAGTGCCCTGCCCCACCCCCATCCTTTGGAGGAAGCTGCTCCTCGGTGGGGCTAGGTCACAGACACGAAGCACAGTTGGTCCCATATCTGAAGACTCCGTCTCCCTCCTGCCCAGAGAGCAGAGCCAATGCCCCTCAGACCATGACCAGCCTTCCCATCACAGGAGGGACTCTGAGAACGTGGGCGTGGCTTCCGACAGGCTCTGCTGGGTGGCTTTCCCCAGAGGAGCCTCACCAGTCGCAGCCTAGCTATGTGAGGGCACCTTCTACCAATGGGTCAGCAGCACTGGGGCTGAATAATAATACATTTTAAAAAGTGTTTAACTTGAGGCCGGCTCAGTGACGCAGCAGTTAAGTTCCCACGTTCCACTTCTCGGCGGCCCAGGGCTCGCTGGTTCAGATCCCAGGTGCAGACATGGCACCACTTGGCAAAGCCATGCTGTGGCAGGCGTCCCACATATAAAGTAGAGGAAGATGGGCACAGGTGTTAGCTCAGGGCCAGTCTTCCTCAGCAAAAAGAGGAGGATTGTCAGCAGTTCACTCAGGGCTAATCTTCCTCAAAAAAATAAGTGTTTAACCAATTTAGGAGGTGTAAAATGGCACCATAGAGTCACTGAATTGAATTCTTATGGTGATTAATGTTTCAACTTTTAACCGTCTATTTTCTAGTGAGAATTGGACTTAATTAGGCAAGTCTGGATTTAAATTCCCACTCTGCCTTTCATTAGCTATGAGAACCAGGGAGATTTGAGGACCCTCTCCGTACTTCAGTTTCGACATCTGTAAAAATGGAAATCTTACCTGTTTGTAGCTCAAACGCTAGTTGTGAGGATTAAATGAAATAAAATACATAAAGCACTTAGCAGAGTCCCCAGCACACAGTAGGTGCTTGATAAATGGGCCCAGCAGAGCTAGAGTGGAAGACCACTTCTCTCTTAAGCTCCAGCTGTTTTTCTTCGATATTTACAAGAATTACATAAATTTGAACCCGTGACCACTGCTAATGCAAGTGTGTCCTGCAGTCAGTCTTCTCCCTTTAAACTCAGTTTGCTTACGTTTCACTCACGAGAGATCAGTGTCACTGCCGTTGATCCTGTTTCTCCGTGTTTTCTTCGACTGCTGGAAACCTGTCCCTCCTCTCTAGTCTTTGCTTCGAAAGTCAAGGTGACATGTAAGTGGGCGTGGTGGATGCTGCGGGAAAGGCGACGAGCTGGTTCCCAGCTGTGTCGCGGGAGCTTGGCCGCAGGTCTTCCTGTGGAGCCAGGAACGCTCTTGGAATGTTCTGAGAAGCTTCTTCGAGTGGTTCAGCTCCAATAAAAAGTCTGAAAATTAATCACCAGACATGCTCACCAGCCGACACTCACTCAGCAAACATTGATTAATAATCTACCCTCTTTTCCAAGGCCTGGGCTTGCCGTGGATCCCGGTGTGGTCCGACATGGATTCTGCACTCTGGGATTTCGCAGTAGGGAGAGAAGCCGTGAGCTGGAGGCTGTCTGCCCCCCAGCTCCTCTGTCCGCCCTTCTCCACCCGCCCTCTGTTCTCCTGGTGGGTCCAGGAGTGGGAGGCATGCGCAGGACATCACTGGGCGCAGGGGAGAGAGGCCAGGGTGTCTATTCTCCCAGCCCCCGCCCTGCCAGCCCACCCTCTGGCGGGGTCTGTGCTCCTCTTCCCCAGGCCACAGCTCCTGTCAGGCGACCCTCTCCAGATTCCAGGAGCCACTTCCCACCTTGCTCCCAGGAGGAGTCGTGGCTTCCAGCGGCTGCTGGCTCTGAGGCGCTTCGCCCACGTTGTTAGTTTCCCTTCTTCCTGCCACATCTTTGTCAATGGTCCCTTTGATTAAACTTTGTTCAGCTGCTCCTGTCTGGTAGGTATGTATCCAGTGCCTGTCCAGTGAAAGAAGAAAATCAGTGGCCGTGGAGAGGGGCCCAGTGCTGAGGGCAGCGGCTGAGACATCACTTCCACTCGGGCGTCAGAGACAACTTGGTGGCATCGAGCTGGACCTCGAGGGTGGAACGCAGGTGTGTATGGGACAGAGGACAAGGGCATCCTGGGAAGAAGCGACAGCCTCGGGACAGGATGGGAGGTGAAGGGAAGTTGGTGTAGGACAGTGGTTCTCAAGGTACGGTCCCCAGACCAGCAGCAGCAGCAGCATCCTCCAGAAGAAAGGCAGATTCTGCAGCCAGGTGTGGACCCACACAGTCCAGAACTCTGGGGAGTGAGCCCAGTGACCTGTGTTTTGACAAGTGCAGGAGATTCTGACGCAGAGTCAAGTTTGAGAGTCCCCTGGAATGGGGACTGCAGGTCAGGGACTGGAGTGAGGTGGAGAAACAGAAGTGGATGGGCACGGGGCCCAGGTTTGCAGAGCCTGGCAGTCTGGACTGCGGGTGGTGGGTGCTGGGAATGGGCGTGTGTGTGCGCACAGGTGTGTCCTGAGCAAAGATGCCCTTCAGAGTGAGGCTGGAGGCAGAGAGACAGTCGGGGAGGTGACCGTGGCTGCCGGGCAGAGGAGCCCCCACAGTGGCCTCAGCCCTGTGGACATTGGGGCCAGGGCACTCTTTGTTATGGGCTGTCTGGCCTGTGCATTGTAGGATGTCTAGCAGCATCCCTGGCCTCTCCCCACTAGATGCCAGTAGATCCCTCAGTTGTGCCAACCAAATATGTCTCCAGACGTTGTCAGATTCCCCTGGTGGGTAAAATCGCTCCAGTCAGGATCGACGGCCCCGAGGCCTCTGTTTGGCCGCAGCGATGGAACCGAGCGCCCAGGTTGCCGTCGGCTGTAGAGTCAGCTGTGCGCGGCCGCTGACCGAGCGAAGGCCTCCGCTGGTTCCAGGCGAGCGATCAGACGGCAAACTGAGGATCTAATTGAAAATTGCTCATTGGAAATTACGTATCGATCTGTTTGGGTAAACTGCTTCCAGGAGTTTTCTCCGCGGTCAATTTGTCGAGGGAGCACTGTTCCTGAGGACGCTGCTCTGGAACTCTGATGACACGGAGTGCACCCAAAGGGGAGGCCTGGGGGTGGGACTTTATCGCTCGAAGCAGGCTCCACCCTCCGCCTGCTGTCTCCACCCACCTCACCGCCCAGTTTCAGCCGCCTGCCCAACCTCTTTTCAGTGTCGCCCTATCACTCTCCACCTTGTCTTAAAGGGTAGTATTAAACAGATGTCCCTTTTGGAGAAGGCGCCCCCTGCCCACTCCCTCCAGCCGGGCCACTCCCCCTGGATGCCCGGGGCCCAGGGCCGAAGCCCGTTGCTGCGGCTGCCCGTCCCGCTGGCCTGGGACGGAGAGCGACAGTCACGGGACGGCGTTGGAGGAGTTCAGTGTTCTGGAAAATCCACGCCCTCGGAGCAGCGATTCTTACACTTGGCCCCGCATCAGCATCAGCATCGCCGGAGGGACTTGTTGAGACAGAGTTTCTGATTCAGAGGTCTCAGAGCCCGGGGTTTGCATCTCTAACAAGTCCCCTCAGCAAACACGATGAAATCAAGAACCGAAGCGGAGGGTGCGGCTCCGGAGCCCAGTCCCACCCCTGCGCGGGCTGCCGGTCTCAGCAGAGGTCGTGGGACACCAGGGCCCCATCTGCTCAGTGGTGGGTGGACCCTGTGCTGCTTGAAACGCCCTCCGCCCGGAAGGTCCTCGGGCCCGGGGTCTGACCCGGCGCTGACCCTCCGCTCGGGGCCGGGCCGCTCGGGGTCTCGCATTCGGCGGGGGCGAGTCCTGGGGCTTAGAGGCCCTCGGACACCCTCGGACGTCTGGTCCCAAGTCCAGGGAGCGGCAGCTGCTCGGCGGTGACCGGCGACCGGCGGTCCTGGTTCGCCAGGACTGAGGGTCCCGGGATGCGGGGCTCCTGGGGCTACACCGCCGGGCCCGGGACCCCAGCGGGCCGGGGAGTCTGCTTCCCTCCCTCCCGGACGCCCCGCGGTCCTCCGCTCTCCCGAGGGCCCTCCCACAGCCCCGCCCCTGCCTGTCAGCCAATCAGAGCGCTCAGGCCTTGGCCGACTCTGGGGGGCGGGGACACAGCTATGAGGCAGCCAATAGGGACTCGGGGGGCGGGCACTGCTCCGCGCTCCGCCAATCACGGCGCGCGGCCTGGGGACCCGGCCCGGTTCGAGCGCCTGTCGCGGAGGCGCATGCGCGGCGAGCAGCTGCTCCGTCGGCGGAGGAGACGCCGGACGCCGCGGGGGAGGCAACGTCGGGGTTCTGATGCGGCCGCTCACAGGCCGGGTGAACCTGGACGCTCAGCGTCTCCGAGCCGCGGTTCCCTCCTCCGTGCCCCGGGGCTTCCTCGAGGGTTAAGCAGACAGGTGGGTAAAGCCTTCAGCCCGCGCCCAGCACGGCGCAGTCCGTTATCATTACGGCGTTGGTATTGTTCTCTCCTCCCGGGAGCCAGGCTGTGGCTCCAGAGCACACCGAGGGGAAGCTGCCGGGGCTCGAGTCCCCTGCACGGTTTGTGCCCCAGAATATGCAGGAAGCGAGTGCGTGCTGCACACCGGATGCGTGTCCCCCAGGTCCGCATGTGCAGACCTGGCCCCTGTGACGTGAGGAGGTGGCCTGGGGGAGGCGGTCAGGTCCTTTGGGTGGCCCCTATGGGGTTAGTGCCTTTTGCAGGAGCCCCTGGGAGCCCCCTTGCTCCTCTGCCACTGAGGACACAGCGGACGGCTGTCTGTGGCCGGGAAGCCCTCGCCAGACCTGCAGGCGCTTTGACCTTGGGCTTCCCGCCCCGGGCGGAGAGGGTTCCCGTCGCTCCGCTGGGCTCCTCTGCAGCAGGGGAAGGGGCTAAGACGCCTCCTCGGTCCAGCGGCACAAAGTCAGGGTTCACCTCGAGGAGGCTGCTGGACCCTGGGACTGAGAGGGGACTGGCCGCCTAGGACTTCCGAGGCCTGCGAGGTCACCGGGAGGTCACGATAAGGGCTTCTGGAGCAGCTTCTCACGAGTGTCTGAGGAATAAGCAAGAGCTCCACCAGGTGCGGGGACCCAGATTCCAGGTCTCTTTCCGAATCTTTCCTGGGGTCCCTGGAAGACTGTCAGAGGACACCTCACGCCTCGCGGGTCCTCGCGGGTCCTGGCTCCTGCGACCTTCGCTCTTCCCAGCTGTCCCGTCGCAGAGCTCCCCCTAAGCACCTGCTTCTCGGTTCCTCACGCCAGCGCCTGGGAGAGCCGCCCTGAGTCCAGCTCTGCTCCAGCTTGACTCCCTCCTCCTCCCGCCTTTCAGCCTCTCCTTTTCCCTGTAAGCGATTTTCCTACCTTTTTCCAAATCAACTGAGCAAATCACTTTGCCCTCTTGTGATTAAGATGTGACCACGTCCTGCCGGAAGAGAAGCCCAGGAGCCGGGGGGCATCCGGATCCCCCCGCCAGGAGAAGAAGCCAGAGGAGAATGTGCCAGAGAGGGGATTTGCTGTTGTGCTGTGGGGAGGGGAACATCACAACCACACGTTAATATTTTTTCATTTTATATTTTCTGATAAGCTGATTTTTTAATGATTTGTTGTTGAGATAAGACAAAAATCAAAATAATACGTCAAGTGTCCGTGGTGTTGGGGGGCAAGCCAACTCCAACTAGAGGAGCCCTCATTCCTGCTTCCAAATTTCTTCTCCTCTTCTCTGCGCCCGCGCGGTGCAGTCTGTCTCATTCTCCTGCCCACGCATCCTGAGTAAAGCAAATGACTAGAAAAACCCGGGCAGGCTGGGCCAGGGGCACGTGTTTCTGCCAGTGTGGTTGGGGTCAGGAGCTGCGCTGGGTGCTCCTATCCTGAGACAGGAAGCACCGCAATGATCGTCCCTCTGGGCCTTGTAGAGTACTCAGCCTCGAGCACCTGCAGCACCTAAGGGAAACTGAGGTATAGCTAAGCGTTTCCCAAGCAGAAATGCCGTTTTTAGGAATAAGCCTCCTTTCATGCCAGACTGTCTGTGCTGAGGCTTCTGACAAATTCTTGAGATGGGATATTAGCTGTGCCCCAAAAATCTTAGGATGGAAGCTCCAGTCGCTCCTGTTGCACCCCAACGTGAGATCTTGGCCGACGTCACAGCCCCAGTGGAGGAGATGAAGGATGTGTCAGAGCTTCAGAAAGCACAGAATCCGGGGGGGAGGGGGGCCAGATAGAAATGCCCGTGTGGATGAGCTGTGATTTTGTTTATTTTTGAGTAAACAAGGGTCGTTACTTGATCTGCCCAGCCCAGTTCCTTCTGCCCCGACAGATTTGTGTGAGAAAGGACACAGTGGCTCGGGGGTAAGTTTTGAGGAGGAAATTGCCGCTGCTGCCCCTGCAGAATGGGCCGAGGACGGAGTGGGGCCGCTGTTGGCTTCCGGAGGGCTCATCTGAGGGGCGTCAATGGGGGCGGCAATGGGCTCCTCGGTGGTCTGAGCCGAAGGCTCTTGTGTCGACTCTGTGGCATGTCTGTGACTAGAACAGAGCTCAGCTGTTTCCTCTCTTTTACATCAAAATACAGGATTGTGGCTGGGTAATTAGAAACTTCATTTTTTTCCCTTTGCTGGACCACAGGACAGCCGTCGTCGGCCAAACTGCTCCCGTTCTTACTGTGTCACTCCCGGGCCGTGTTCCCAAGTCTGAAAGGTTACATTTCTGTCTTTGCGATGGTACGATTTGTGGTGGTGAATGTGCAGTTATCCACAAAAATCTCACATTATTTTCTGTAAATTTCCATCTTGAGGCTGGAAAGAATTCGGCTCTTCTTACCAGCATCTGCGTGGTTGGGGTCTGTCACGAGGGCTGCTGTGGAGGCCCTCAGGAGCCTGGCTTCGGGGGCCACAGACGGACTGGAGCTTCCATGGTCACTCAGCCAGGAGGCAGTGCCTGGAAAGCAGGTCAGAGGACGGGAGGCGAGGGGCGGAGGCCTTGCCTTCTCTGGGCGGTTTGCGTCTCCTGCCTCATGTTTTGGTTCCTGATGTACAAATATCTCGAGTGTGAGCTTCATGGATAAGCAGTTATGCGAAATCCTATATGATAAAATCAGAGAATGTTAGAGTCGGAAGGGTCCTTTGAGAGCAAGTTGTCCCAAAAAGCATGACAGTATAGAGGAGAAGAGACGTTCCAAGAGTGCCGGGCTTGCCTAGCGTCACACGTGGGTCGTGAGCAGGACCACAGCTGGGCTGGTGCCGGCTCTTCTTTCAGATCAGTGGCTGTCCGTGAGGAATTGGGGATGCGTGCTCCACGTGCCGAGCGCTGGGCTCAGGGGCCCCAGGGTCATCTTCCCTCAGTCAGAGGCTCTTAAGTGCTTTTTGGCTGAGGTTTCAACTCCAAGTCAGCAGCCAGCAGATAGACATCTGGGGACCTTAGGTAGCTTCTGAGTGTCTCCAGGGGACAGGTGTCTGTGCAGTGAGAAAAGTGAACCATCATCAAAATGACGACAGCTTATTCACCCAGACCCCCCTACTCCCAGCCCAGAGGAGTCAGGAGGGCGAGGAGCACCGCAGCCAACTGCCCAGCACCGTGGGGGAGCATTAGTGTGGCTGTGGGAGCGACTCCTCCTCTCTGCCCCGGCCTCCCATGTCATCTCTGGAAGCCGGCCTCCCTTCTTTGCAGCTCTCTGTCTGCACCCGTGTCTGTTCTTCAGGCCTCTTTTACACTCGTCCTTGCGAACCAGCGTCTCTTTGAACGTGGTCCTCAGGGGATGGGTTCCAATAACAGAACAAGCTCGACGGCCAACCTCTATCAAGAGCCAATAGCAGGCACTGTTCACGCAGCATCCCATTCAATCTCTACTACGACCCTATGTTATAGGTGAGAAATTGAGGCCCCGTGAGGTTGACCCACCCAAAGCCACCCCGGGGAGCCAGGACTCAACGCCAGGTTGGCCTGACCCCAAGCCTGCCCCCTTAGCCGATGCACTGGACTGCTTCCAGGTTGTGCTCTTCAACCAGAAGACATGACACCACAATTAATTCAAACAGAGCAAGTATTTACAACTACGTTTACTAGTGTGCAAAAAAAATTCACAAATGCAAGTACAAATGCACTGTGGTTACAAATGGAGTAAGGAAAATGCGATTTGGAAATTAAAAAAACACGCACACAAAGGAAAAAAGCCAGAAAGAGCTCAAAACTGAATTTACAAATTGTTCATATGATAGTAACCATGGGAACTATAAATTATAACAGTACATGAAAACTCGATGGGAAAACTAGCAGAGGATGTGAATAGGAAACTAAAGATAAGAAGTTACATGAATTGTCCAAAATATATGAAAAAAGTCAAATTCTAACTAAAGGATTACAAGTTAAAGCAACAAAAAGTTTTGGAAAATGACAAAACCCTGTGTTGGGGAGGATGTAAGGAGGCAGGTGGTGAAGTGAGCACTTTCACATGGGCGAAATGTTGAAATTTGGCAAAATGATAGAAGTTATAGTAAATATGATGTGCATATAATGGGAAGCTAGGCGTCTACTAAAATGATGCTGTATGAGAATATGTAAGACACAAACATTCCTAATAGATTGTCAAGTGAAACAGCAGTTTATAAAACAGCGTATCCTGTGGGAGCCCAGTTTTCCTGGTGGCCGGCCTTCCCCGGGTGGAGGATGTCGGCCTCACTGACAGTGGGATGAACCCACTTCGTGGGCATCTGATAGGACCTGCTGAGAACACACCCAGCTCCTGGGGTATTTGTACCCCAAAGTGCAACTTGGAGCGTGAGGAAGCATCAGAATTCTCCCGGCTGAGGGCCGTCCTATGAACTAACTGACCCATTTTCTTTAAAATGCTGAGGTCATGGAAGATGAAGACTGAGAGACTCTTACAGACTCAGGGGGACTAAAGAGATATGAAAATGAAGGGTGACGTAGCGTCTGGATTGGCCGCGGAGCCAGGAAGAAAACTGCTGTAAAGCACATTACTAGGACAATTGATGTCACCTGAATAAGGACTGTGACTTGGATGACAGTATCGATGCCAATTCCCTGGGTCCTGGCACTGTGGTCATGTGTGACGCTGACAGCTCTGCCTCCGGGATTTCAAACACCAGCAGGTCACCCACGGTGGGCAGGGTTCAGCGGAGCTTCCAGACTAGACAGACTAGGAGGAAGGACCTGGCCACCTACTTCTGAAAGAAATGGCCATGAAAACCCTGTGAACAGCAGCAGAGCATTGTCTGATACAGCGTGGGAAGGTGAGAGGATGGCACAAGAGACCAGGCAGGGTTCCCTCTGCTGGGCACAGGGCGCTGGGAGTCAGAACCACTCGAGGGCACTAACAGCAGACTGTGGCTGTGTGAGAGGCACCCCATCCTCAGGAGGCAGACGCTGCCGTGTTCAGAGGTAAAGGGCGTGATGTCTCCAACTGCATCGCAAATGCCTCAGGAAATAAATGTCTGCCTGTCTAAAATATATGTGTATATTGTTAAAATTTATTATTTTAGTATTCACAATAACTAGTATATTATAAAAATATTAAAGTATATTTAATATATTATGAAATAATTATATAGAGAGAGAGAAAGGGAGAGAAGAATAAAGAAGGATAAAGCCGCTGGGGCCACTGGACAATTGGTGAAGAGCATGTGGGAGCTCCTTGTAGTCTTCTTGCAAATTTTCTGCAAGTTTGAAGTTACATCAAAATAAAAAGTCATCAAAAAACTATATTAAAAACCGGGAGGTTTTCCACAAAATGTCAAGAATACTTTTCTTTCAGTGGTGGGATCACGCTTGGTTTTATTTCCACCTTTCTGCAGACGAGTGTTTTCTAAAATTGTCCACGATAAACAAGCCATAATGATATAACTGGCTGTCAAACAGTCTGAACTCAGTGGGTACAGACATGGAATTGCCTTAGAAAACGTCCCGGCTGCACTGTGCGTTTCTTCTCAGTTCTTTGATGTCGTCCTGAAAGATCTAGAAACTTCCGGATCCAGATTGAAACGTTGACTCACATCCAGCAAGGGCCCTTCCTCCTGCCCTGCCCCCCCCGAGCTCTGCTCTCCTTCCTCCTCCTCTGCTCACTGCTGCTTCTGGTCTGCTAGTGTGGAGGTCGAGGGAGCGTGTGGCCTTCTGCTCAGCTGATGCTGCTGAAGTTTCGCTGTCGCTGGGGCTCCGTGCAGGAGTGCGAGCTGCTCCCAGCTCGTCAGCTGGGGCTTGAGTTCCTCAGGAGATCTGGACGGGGCCTCCCCATTACTTGTCCCCCAGCCTGATGGCTCTTGTCCACAGTGTCTCACCACAGCTCTTCCCTGCTCTGGGCCCCTCGCCCGGCAGGCAGCACGTCTCAACACCAACTGGAGGCCCCACAGAGTCAGAATGTCTGAAACCGGCTCCACATCTCCCTCCTCCAACCCGTGAACTGGACCCTCCCCCAGCATTTCCCACACGGTGAAGGGCACCACCTTCCACCCAGGTCATTCTTACCGCCTCCCCGCCATCTGTTCTCTACAATCGTGGTGTCCTGTCTAGTCTATTTCTGAATATTTCTCCAAATCAGTAGCTGTTGAAACTTGTTTTTAGAATAAGCTTCTCTTAGTCACACCCAGTTAGTCCCAGTGTCCACGAGAGCTTTGATCTCCAAGCCCCAGAGCTTTAGGCGCATCTTCCTCTCTTCCCATAAGGTCGCTCCCCAGGCCCCTGGCCCTCTTTCCTCAGCCTGGTTGGCTCCTCTGAAGCTCTGGTCCCTCATGAGGGTGGACTGGATGGGAGGAGCTCATCACTGGGCCTGGGTTGTCAGATGGGATTCTGAGTCCATGGAAAGTCCTCAGTGAAGATGGGGAAGCTTCCCCCCAGTTATGCAAGGGCGGATGCCATTGAGGGTGTGTTTAGGAGCCAGATGCTCAGAGGTCAGGCCCCAGGAGTCATCAGAGCAGCTCCGGGGAGCTCCCTTCATCCCCAAAGGCCTGTCCATCTGCCCAGAGAGAGCCACACAGAGGGAGATATTTTGGGGGCTCCTCCTCCTAAGATTCAACTCTGTCTGAGTGGTTACTGGTCAGCAGCGGTGGGTTCAGGTGTCACGAGGTCGGAAGCTCATACAACTGAAGGATCTTCTTTAAGAAAACAAATACAAATTACAAATTCCCACTGCAGAGCCTCGGGAAGGGCCTGGATGAGTGGCATGTTTTGGGGGGTGGGGGTGCAGCTGAGTTTCACCACCTCCCTGTAAATCTGGCTTTTCTGGTCAGAGTCAGAGCCTGAGGACGGCGCAGCGCAGTGTCTCCCGCCCTCAGGCTCTTCTGGGATCATTTCAGGGCGGTGGGCAGGACCATGGGCTTCGCAGCCAGGCAGGCTGGTCTCTCACCAGCTGTGTGGCCTGTGGGCAGTTACCTCAGCTCTGGGAACCTTAGATTCTTCCTCTGAAATAAACCGGGGTTGCTAACTGAATTATTATTCTAAAAGGTTCTCTGTTTTCCTTTCCAGGAAAGCAGCCTGAGGACCGAATTCAAGTGACTCCAACCCTTTGTGCTCTTGCAAGAACAGAAGCAGGTGCTGGTTGAAAAAGCGATGGTTAAAAAAAATTTTTTTCTTTAATTTGAGGATTCACTTCAAAAAGCATCATGTAACTTTTATTTCTCCCGCACTTGTAAAAAGAGCACTTAATCATGGGTTGAAAACTTCCTTTGCTTGTCTCATGAGAGTTCTGTGGGGCTGGGTTGGGGCTGCCTGGGGAGGACGGGGCAGGCGCGGCTGCGGCTCACTCCCTGGGGCCGTCCTGTGCTGCGGGGCCCGGCACCGGGGAGGCCCCCTCAGGACACGGGCTTCAGTTTTACTCTTTTGCACGTGAATGTCCAGTTTTCCCCACACCATTGATTGAAGGGACTGTCTCTTCCCCGTTGAGTATTCTTGGCTCCCTTGTTAAATATTAGTCGACCAGATACGTGTGAATTTATTTCTGGGCTTGAATTCTGTTCCGTTGGTCTGTGTGTCTGTTTTTGTGCTAACACCATACTGTTTTGATCACCGCAGCTTTGCAATTTGGTTTGAAACCAGGAAGTGTGATGCCTCCAGCTTTGTTCTTTCTCAAGATTGCTTTGCTTACTCAGGATTTTCTGTGGTTCCATATGAATTTCAGAATTGTTTGCTCTATTCCTGTGAAAAATGCCATTGGAATTTTGACAGGGATTGCCTTGAACCTATAGATAGATGGCTTTGGGTCGTATGAACATTTTGACAATATTGGCATTCCGGTCCGTGAACATGAGATGTCTTTCCATTTATTTGCATCATCTTCAATTTCTTTCATCAGTGTCTTATAGTGTTCAGGGTATAGATCCTTCACTTCCATGGCTAAAGTTATTCCTACATATTTTATTGTTTTTGATGCTATTATAAAAGGGATGGTTTTCTTTATTTCTTTTTCAGAAACTCATTGTCAGTGTATAGAAGTGCAACCGATTTTGGTACATTGATTTTGTATCCTGAAACTTTTCTGAATTGCTTTATTAGTTCTAACAGGTTTTTGATGAATTCTTTAGGATTTTCTGTATACGTGATCATGTCACCAGTGAACACTTTTCCTTCTTCTTTTCGATTTGGATGCCTTTTCTTTCTTTTTCTTGCCTGATTGCTCTGGCTAGGAGTTCCCGTACTATGACAAATAGGACTGGCGAGAGTGGGCATCCTTGTCTTGTTCTTGATCTTAGTGGGAAGGCTTTCAACCCATCACCATTGAGTGTGACGTTAGCTGTGGGCTTGTCATATGGCCTTTATTATGTTGAGGTATGTTCCTTTTATACCCACTTTGTTGAGAGTTTTTATCATGAAAGGATGTTGAATTTTTTCAAATGCATTTTCTGTGTCTATTGAAATGATCATATGATTTTTATGTTTCATTCTATTAATGCATTGTATCTTACACCACTCATAAAAATTAACTCAAAATGGATTAAAGACTTAAATGTAAGACCTGAAACTGTAAAACTCCTAGAAGAAAACATAGAGAAAAGCTCCTTGACATTGGCCTTGGCAAATATTTTTTGGAAATGACACCAAAAGCACAAGTAATCAAAAGCAAAAATAAATAAGTGGGACTGCATCAAACTAAAGCGCTTCTGCACAGCAAAAGAAACAATCAACAAAATAAAAAGGCAACTTATGGAATGAGAAAAAATATTTGCAAAACATCTGTCTGATAAGAGGTTAATTTCCAAAATATATAAGGAACTCATACAACTCAATAGCAAAAAACAAAAATCTGGTTAAAAAGTGGGCAAAGGACATGAATAGACATTTTTCCCAAAGAAGATATACAGATGGCCAACAAGTACATGAAAAGGTGCTCAACATCACTAGTCATCAGGGATGCAAATCAAAACCACAAGGAGATATCATCACCTCACACCTGTTAGGATGGTCATCATCAGGGGCCGGCCCCATGGCCGAGTGGTTGAGTTCATACACTCTGCTTCGGTGGCCCAGGGTTTCACCAGTTTGGATCCTGGGTGCAGACATGGCACTGCTCATCAAGCCATGCTGAGGCGGCATCCCACATGCCACAACTAGAAGGACCCACAACTAAAATATACAACTATGTACCAGGGGGCTTTGAGAAGAAAAAGGAAAAATAAAATCTTAAAAAAAAAAAGTCTCCAGCCTTTAAAAAAAAAAAAAAAGAATGGTCATCATCAGAAAGACAAGAGATGACAAGTGTGGTGAGGACGTGGAGAAAAGGGAACCCTTGTGTACTGTGGTGGGAATGTAAATTGGTGCAGCCACTATGGAAAACAGTAAGGAGGTTTCTCAAAAAATTAAACATAGAAATGCCATATGATCCAGCAATCCCATTTCTGGGTATTTATCCAAAGGAAATGAAATCACCCTCTCAAAGAGCTGTCTGCATCCCCACGGTCATTGCAGCATCACTCACAAAAGCCAAGACACGGAAACAGCCTAAGTGCCCATCACAGATGAATGGATCAGGAAAATGTGATGTATATAATGGGATATTATTCAGCCATAAAAAAGGAAGTCCTGCCATTTGCAACAACATGGACAGACCTTGAGGGCATTATGCTGAGTGAAACAAATCAGACAGAGAAAGACAAATACTATATGATATCACCTGTATGTGGAATCTAAAAATGCTGAACCACAGAAACAGAGGAGGGTGGTGGTTGCCAGGGGATGGGGGTGGTGGCAAATGAGGTGCTGGTCAAAGGGTGCGAACTTCCAGCTATAAGATGAGTAAGTTCGGGGGATCTAATGCACAGCATGGCGACCACAGGTAACGATACTGAAGGTATACTTGGAAGTTGCTAAGAGAGTAGATCTTAAATGTTCTCACCACAACAACGAAAGGGTAATTATGTGAAGTGAAGGATGTGTTAACTAACATTATTTTGGTAAACATTTCACAGTACATACGTGTATCAAATCATTGTATTGTACACCTTAAACTCACACAATGTTGTATGTCAGTTATATCAATAAAACTGGAAAAAAAAAGAAAGACACGGGGTGGAGGAAAGAGGAAAGACAAGAGGAACAGGAAGAGGGTTTCCTTTTCCTTCCTGGACTCCTTTTTTAGCCCCTCAAGTGGAATTTTGAGATAAGCAACATGAGTTTTGGAGTCCTTTGCCTCCTGTCTGTGCTCCTCTTTCTTTCTGGGGCTCCTTTCCTCTGTCCCAGAGGCTGAACCTTATCCCACCCCCAGCCTGTCATACTCCCTAAGCGCCCTCTGCTCCACAAAATGACCCGCACCCATCCCCCATCACATGCCCATCACACCCTCAGCTCCCATGTACAGCTGAGGGCAGCTCAGGGTTTGAAGTAAAGAAGCTGAGTGGACTAATGATTTCCTTCTCGGGTACCTTGACCCTCTGGGAAGTGTTTGCACTTAAAAGACCTGTTGGGACCCATACACGCGAGTTGCTAACTGGTGGAATGTCGAGCAGATGAAGAAAGTGAAATTTGGCACCAGGCTGAGGGAGGAAGATCGTTTCTGGCACCCAGGGGAGAATGTTCTGCTCTTCACAGTATCTTCTGTTCCTCTACTTCAGATCCTCAGACTCTCTAAATATTCTGGTCTTTGCCCACATGCGTGGGGGCAGCAGGGTCTCTGGTGGGTGGGAGAGGAAGGGCAGAGGCTGTTTCTGGGTGCGGTTTGCCTGTTAATGCGTTGGATGCTCCCTTGACAGACGCTGGTCTTGGGATGGAGGAAGGAGGGCTGGAACAAGGGTTGGGGAGGTCAGGAGAGCCTCACGATGGGCGGCCTGGAAAGTGACTTGGGATGGTGAGAAGTTTGGAGCCCAGGTGTGGTGGGTCACAGCAGCTTTTAAGAGCCACCGATTTGCCAGGGATCCTGGCTGGTCGATGGGATAAGAGAACCTGGGGTCAAAGCTCTGAGGGAGCTTGTCCAGAAATGCAGAGCTGGGTGAGGAATACCAGTGGAAACGCTGCTATGTGGAGGGTGGGGAAGAGAGTTAAGATACTCACACCGATAATAACAACGCCGAGGGGACTAACACGAGGAGGTGGGAAGTCTGGGCCCTTGGTAGGGAGACGCGACCAGACTGAGTTGAAACCCTTGTGCAGCAGCTGAAGGGGCCACAGCACATGCTGTCTGGTTATTGACACTGTCTCCTTGCTTTTGCTCATATGTCTCTGTTCATATGACCTTCTACACGTCTTTGTTCATTATCATTATCTTTGTGCACATGTGATGCGTGTGGATGTTTCCTTACCATAGTTTCTGAAAAAAGGAATTAGTACATCAAAGAACATATGCATACAAACTTTGGAAAGACTCTGGAACCATTTTTTAATGAAAAGTCCCATCTGATGAGAGTGGGGAGAAACAGCATTGTCCCATCTATGTCACCAGTGGGACTGAAAGATGTGGCACCTCTTCTGGAGAGGAATCTAGCAATGTTCTTGAAAATTTTGCTTTCTCGGTGCCCATCTAGCATAGCCATTTGGAGGTTTTTCTAAGGAAATAATCAGACAAAAAGGGAAAGAGTAGACTCCAGGCAGCAGTGAATATAGTAGTGAAAAATTGGGGGAAAATCCCAAAGTGGTATTCGGGATTGAGTAAGTAAAATATGGCAGGCACATCCACACAGTAGAACTCATTACAAATTACACTGTAGGCGCATTTGTGAACACAGACACTCTTCGTAGCGCACGCTACAGAAGCAGGTTACAGACGCCAACATGGAAGCTCCACGGATGCTGCGGGTTTGCTCCCCGTGCTCGGCTCTGGGCTCCCATTTACCTTCTGAGCCGAGGTCGGTCGAGGGTTCTGCTGGTTCCTTGTGCTTCTCTATGGGCTGTGTCAGCCTCTGCCGGTGAGGAATGACGGCTGGGTGGGGTGTCTGTCTCCTCAGTCTCCTTGGCCCCCTTTCCTGCCGCCACTCTGAGGGTTTTTGGGGAAATGGGGCCGCCTCTCCCTAGGAGTTCGCAGCACCAATATGGACTCTCCGCTGTTACATCCGTGTGGACTTTTGGGACCTGGGGTGGGGTGGGCTGGGTCTTCAGGCTCAGAACAGCATCTTGGACAAGGTGTCTGGGCTCGACTCCTGGGAGGCTGTGCACCGTGACACTTCCACTGTTTTCTCCTTGCTAGAGTTGAAGGGCACTTGACGGTCAGAATTTTATCCCTATGTTCTTATCTCTTTAGTAACTTTTCTGACCATAGAATTGGAATCAAGTCTACCCTCCCCCATCCTTTTTTTGCTTCTGAGAATGTCTTGAAATTTTTCTCTGAACTCTAAGGAAACTGACAGCATCTAGTGCCTCGTGTCTCAGGGTCGGAGAATCTCTCAGACTCTCTGAGCCTCGGGTGGTGCTGGTTCTGGACCAGCAGGAGGGTGGTGGAGACGTAAGACTGATGCCTGAACAAAGAGCAGGAGGGTGTAGTGGCTGTGGGTGGACCCCACTTGCATTCCTTTCCACTGCGGGGAGGGTGGGCTGTGACAAGGCAAATGTCGGCCAGCTCGACTCACTGACCTTTGGGCGTCTCATCTTCCTCTGGTCGACAGCTTAGTGATGAGATAAAGGTGGATCAGCCATGGGGCGGTTTCATCCTGGCCTGGATCACAACCTTGGACCCTCCTCACAGTGAACAAAGCACATGGCAGACTGACAGGAAGCAGGAGTTCCTTTGTTATAGAAAAATGTTTATTGCAAAGACTAGTGGTTAATATATTTGATTGAATTAAAAGTGATAGTAATAGCGTTAATACCCGTTCCTATTTGTTGCAACCTAGTATCCACCAGCTCCTAGAGCTTACATCCGTGTGTTGTGTACTATACATCATGTGTTACAGGTGACATGCTATGTGTGTTATACTTTATATTATTGCACCTCACATGTTATACATTATGGTCAGGAGGAGGCCAGCAATGGTGTTCCTAGTGCCTGAGCCTTCCTTCACTGCCAGCCCAAGCCCAAATGTTGACTGTTTTTTTTCTTTTCCTTCTGGCAATGGGTAAGCAGGACTCTAGCGGTCAAGTTTCTGATGATCCTTCAGGGTTTTGTGTCTTTAGGAGGAGAGTCAAGAGAGTGGCCTTGCCCTGGTTGGGGGAGACCCTCTGGGCCAGAGCCAAGGCCACGGAGCAGGCAGGAGTCGTGTGTGAGCAGGCAGCGGGTGGGGACAGCACTGCTGGGAGCCGGCTTTGCTGAGACCTGCCCGGTGCGGCCAGGTGGTCGGTGGCCAGTTGACAAGAGCGAGGGGTGGTCCCAGGAGCAGCAGCCCGAGCTGGGGGAGCCTGCTCCTCCTTGCGGGAGCTGGAAGTTGGGGGACGTTTTAAGGACCCATTTTAGTGACTGAGATTCTCTCTCTCAGTGGAGAGACGCACAGATTCCTCAGGGCTCCATGAGATGCTGGATGGCAGAATTAGGATCCAGAAACATCTGGATGGGCTTGAATGCAGCTGCGTCGCTGCCAGAACAGGGGCCCTGGCCAAGCAGCCAGCCTCCCGGGAGAGCAGTCCTTGAGGACAGACAGGGAGCCTGGGGAAGGATCCTACAAGACAGGAGAGGAAAGCTTCCAGCAGGAAGACCTGCGACTCAAAGCCTGGCCCACGGCTGTTTTGGGGGCACCGCACCTGGGCTTGCTCTTGGTTGCCAGCAAACGCTCGTTTCTCAGCCTCCTCGCCCTCTACCCAAATCCCTGCCCTCTTTGTTCTCCACATCACCCGGGGACTCCTTTCCACCCAGATGGGCCCTGGGTCCTCCTCGGCCTCCTCCTCGGCCTGTCACCAGCATCAAAGGCGATGCTCTAGGCGCCTTCGTTCCCAGAATCCTCTGCCATCCTTCGCTCCGCCGCCAGAGGAGCCTCCAACACGGAAGCCTGGGCGTTCGTCCCCTGTCCCCCACCGCGGCCCTAAGGGCCCCGACCACAGCCCCAGCCACCGCGGGCTAAACACCGGCCCCGCCGGTGACCCTGCGCCCAGCCTGTCGCTCCCGCCGCTCACCCGCCGACACGCACCACAGTCCAGCTGCTCCGTGATTTCTGTTCACACGTATCAACCAGAAAGAGGAAAAACAGCTGTTTTCCGGGGATGCCAATTAGCGAGCGGCGTGTTCATCGTCAGCCGTGGGAGGACTGTCAGCGACAGCGCGCGCGCGCCCGGGCGGAAGGAACAGCGTCCACTGTGTCCGTCCGGCCCCGCAAGCTGCGTGTCCTCTACGCGAGCTGTGCTGAGGCCCTACTGGGTGTGGGGTCCCGAGTCCAGAGCCGAGGGGTGCCAGGCCGGGTGCCCGTCTTCCTGGGAAGGCCCCCGCGCACCTCCTCGGACACCGCGCACGGGCCTGCTGACCGCGTGGACCCGTCGCCCTTGCAAGCCTTCCACACGGGGTTCCAGCCCGGACACCAGCTGGCGTCTCCTGGCCCTGGGGGTCTGCAGGGAGTGGCTCACACCCCTGTTCCAGGCAGACCCTCGAGGAAGGATGCGTGGAATCTCAACTCTCTCCAGATGGCTGAGCTCCCCGGCGGCCTCCACTCCCGCAGACCCCTCCGGATCCAGCCTCCCGCGTCCGCCGGGTCGCTGCTCCCTGCGCTGTGTCCACGGCCCTTCCTCATCTCCACCAGCCCCCACAGAGCAGACTCCACCTCTATCCCTCCCGGGAAGCCGGCGCTTTGGCGGAACTTCTGCGTGCAGGTCGGGGCCATCAAGGAGCTCCCGCCGTGGGGCTGAGCGCCGCGCCTCCCGACCTCCTGTTATCACAGGCCTTCGGGCCAAACTCCTGGGGGGCTTCCCGCTGGCCCCGCACCCCGCGGGGCCCTCAGCTCTGCATTTTGCCGATTCTCCTCTCTCCTCTCTCCCCATCTTCTCTTTCCAAACTCGGCTCCGGGCGTCGCCGGAAGGTGCGCAGCGGAACCGAAGGGTCTTAGCAGGATAGGGTGCCGCTGCCTTAGAAGGTCAGTGTGGTTATCGACCCCGAAGGAGCCTCCTTCCTTTACAAAATCAAGTTTAATGAGGCAGAAATGCCCCACCTGGGTGTCGATGGGGAGCAGCAGCTGCACCGGCCGCCTTGGGCGTCTCCCCACAACTTCGGAGGGCAGGAGGGTGCCCCGTCTCCCGCCTCTGGGCTCCTCAGCTGGCTGCCGAGGTGCCCGCCCTCAGGTCTGCCCTCCATGTTCACAGAAGCACCTTCTTTTTAAGTTAACAGACTCCATTTTTGAGAACAGAACAGTGTTGGATTTTCCACTTCTGAGCGGTAGTATGGAGAGTTCCTGTACTGCCTCCTCTCGCCCCACAACGTTTCTCCTGTTGTTATCATCTTAGTACCAGGACGGCACATTGCTAGAACTAAGGGAAAAGCGTGGGTACAGTGGTACTGACTGAAGTCCAGTCTATTCAGATCCTCAGTTTCCCCTAATGTCCTTTTTCTGTCCAGGACCCCATGTGACATTTAGTTGTTGTGCCCCTTAGGCCCCCTTGCTGTCACGGTTTCTCAGACTGGGCCTGGTTTTGGTGAGACCTTGACGTTTTGAGGAGTTCCGGCTGTGTGCTTTCTAGGACGCTCTCTCCTGGGATCTCTCTGCTGTGTTCCTGGTGAGTGGACAGGGGCTCTGGGTTCTGAGAGGAGAAAGGGGCCGAGCGCCATGGCCATCCTCTCCCGTCACCATTGACGGTGTGTGCTCTGGCCGTGACCTGCGACGGCTGGTGTCGCCTGGGAGGCAGGGCCCTGCCTTCTCCGTGGCAGAGTCGCTCTTTTCTGCCCCTCTTTCCATTCCGTGCTCCCCTGAAGGAGCCACTGTGCGCGGCCCACACTCATGGGGAGGGGGCCTCACACCACCTCCTTGGGTGCAGAATCCACAAGAATCATCTGGAATTCTTCCATGGGGGAGATTTGTCTCCTCCCTCTCATTTATTAACTTAGTCCTTTGTACTAGTCTGGACTCACGGATATTCATTTTATGCTCTGGGCTATAATTGTATTTGTTTTGTTGCTCAAATTGTCCCAGTTTTGGCAGTAGGGGGCTCTTCCCATTGGTTTTGTGGCCCTTTGACACACCCCATCTGTGTGTGTGTGCATGTATGTGCACGTGCGTGCATGTGTCTGCGAGTGCGTGTCTGTGTGTGCATGCATGTGTGACACACATGTGCGTTTAATCACTTTCCCACTTTGTGGCGCTACGAGGCGCTCTCTTCTCTTCATCCCCGCTCTTGGCTCTTGGCTCTTCTTGGTCTTCTTCTCAACTCTTTGTTTTCACGAAGTGAAGTAAACGCCTTGACTGCCGAGGCCGAGTGTGCAGCCCCTTCCTGGTGACCCAGAGGCGCCATGTTCTCTCGGCTGCACAGGCAGGTGTCATCCGGCCACCGCAGGCGCCTTCAAGTAGACATCATCGTTCTTGTTCTAGAGGGACTCCGGGATGGTGAGGAATTGGGTCAGAACCACGCGGAGGAGCAGGACCCGAACCCAGGCGCTCCCTGCGCGATGTGGTCACCTCGCCTTCCAGGATAAGCTTCCGGAGCCTCTGCTTGGAGCAAGGGCTGTGGCAGCACCTCTCTGAGGAGGGGACAGGCCTCCACGTCCCCACACGTCCCCGTCTGAAGCCCCCGTGTGGCTCCCTGGCGCTGCCTCTTCCCGGCGCCGTCCACCCTGCAGCTCTGCTTGGGCTTTGGGAGGCACCTGCCCCACACGGTGGGAACGGCGCTGTGCGCGGGTTCCGCCACCACGAGCCGAGCCCCATGAGCCTCTGAGATCCGCTCCCGGTGCTGAACGTCGTCTGCCGCGAGGGGGGAGAGTGGCTGGCGTTGGGTCAAGTCCACCCACCGCGGACGGCTTTGGTGGATTTTCAGTGGCATTCAACAAATGAGGGGAAAAATAACATAAACCTAAACCACTGTTTTTATGAGAGGGTATGTATATTTATACATCAGTCTCGTGTTTAAATGTTCCATTTGGGGCTACGGTTTTTTGAAAAAGTACTATTTTTTCCCTTTTTATAGAAACAAAATTCACTTTGAATTGTGGCATTTTTTTTTTTTTTTTGGAAAAGAAAAGGCTGCATTTGAACTTTAGAACTAAAAGAGTGTCTGGTCCACAGCAACCCTATGAACAAGATTTCAGGAAATCATATGGGGCCCTACCAGAAATGGAACAGAGGGGCTGTCGGCTGTGTCGCTCATGGTTAGAGCCGTCGTCACCGGGGCCTGTGGTCCCGACCACAAGCATGTGACCAGGGGCCCCGATGGAGCGGCTGGGCTGAGTCAGACCTTCTGCTTGCCTTGGCGCCGGCCCTGCCGAAGGCAGAGCGCAGAGAGGCCCCCTCCCCCTCTCGCTGGGCCCCTCCTGCCTTAGACTGGGCCGTGGTGGCTGCCAAAGGCCGCCCCATCCTGGGCCCAGCGCCACAGTCCGACTCCTGGAGAGAGAGGACAGTGTGGAGAGGGAGGTGGAAGAGCAGGCTGGGGGGGTGGGGGCAAGTCACTGAGCCCAACGGGTCCGAGAAGGGGCCTGGCTTGTCTGCCAGGAGGGTTGTGTGCTGCCGCGGGTGTGGGTCAGGCCCACTGGGAGGGCAGGTTTTAAACTCTCCCTTAAACCCCAGGTGTGGGCCAGACCCTGGCTGGCGGTCAGTGTAGGGGGAGGATGAACTCGGTTTGTTTGATGCTGGGGAGCGGGGAAGGCAGCCGGGGAAACCCACGTGCCCCCTAACCGGCCCCCTCTGATTCCAGGCGCACACTGTGCTCTCAGATCAGCAGGAGCAGGGCCCGCTCTGGGTCCTAACTGAGCACCCATCACGGTGAGCCCCGTGTGCTCGCACGGCTGGAACTCGTCACTCTGCCTCAGCATCTTGGTCCACAGGAGACAATAGGGGCCCAGAGCTTAGTGAGTGCAGAGTCGGGACTCGAGCCTCCGTCTGACCAGCTCCAGCATCCGCGTTCTGACCATGGGATTAAACTCCCTCGGGTCTGACCCAGGAACCAGAGGACCTGGAACCCAATTCCACGTTTGTCACTCACTGGCTGGGCCGCCTGAGGAAGCTGCTGTCCATCCCTGACCTCTGATGCACTGAGTCAGATGGAGCTAATTCTAGTGCTTGCCTGCCAGGGTTTTCTGAGGAAATGTATGTGAAAGTGACGTGCCCCCTGCAGAACTGAGGAGAGAACCTCCCGGATGCCGCTCTCCTGTGCTCTCCTGCTTTTTGACCACTTCATGCTCACGAGAGGAGCTTGTGCGTGTTCCCTGCAAGGACAGCCACACTTCGTCGTGGGACCTGCTGCATGTCCCCAGCTCTGTGTTGACTCTGAGATGTGCAGGCCCAGAGCCGATGGAGCGAGGGCCCCACCACCTGACTGGTAAAGCCTCCCCCTAGATGAGACTCTCCGGACTCATCTTTCCCTGAACCGGACGTGAGGCTGGGACACGGCCACGCAGCCCCCAAACCCGCCGTCTCCTTGGTCACTCCTTACTTCCCTCCAGCCGCCCCTCACTCTCCAGGCTGTGGGCGTCCTCCTTTCGGCAGCCTGTGCGTCCACCCCGTCTCCAGTGCGGGCAGGTCTGAGCTCAGCCTCTCCCTCCTGCCGCTCCCCAGCCCGCTGCCTGATGGCCAGGCACTGCCCCCAAGCTGTTCTTCACCAGCCACGCAGGTCTTCGGCCCCTTCTGGCTTAGAGTCCACCAGGGCTCAAGCGTCCCACTCCTTGCAGGGCCCCGTGATCAGGGTGGCGACCTTTCCCGCCAGTCCTGTCCAGCTCCCCTCGCACCACTGCCCCACGGGCAGGCAATGCACGCTGAGTGCCCTCTCTGCTCCCCGATCCATCCTTGGGAACCCAGTCTGGGCAACCTCTTCCAGGAAGCCTCTGAGTCCATCAGTCGGTGGGGGATTTCTCCGAGGACCCGCAGCGCCTGCCTGTGCCTTTCACTTCCCTCCTCGGAGTGCAGCCTCGGCGTGTCTGACGCGGGGTAGAAGGACCGCGCTCAGTGCACGCGGTGGACACCCTGGTCAGATGCACTGGTGGGCGTGGTGGACTATCCAGGGTCAGATGCGCCAGGACACACAGTGGACATCCCCGGGTCAGACGCGCCAGTGCACGTGGTGGATGACCCAGGGCCAGATGCTGCGCTGACGTGTGAGTCATTCTGAGGTCGTTGGGCAGCTGGTTGACCCCACTCTGCTCCTCCTGCGGCCAGGCTCCGCTCCCCCTAGTGCTCCCAGGGCTGCCTAAGTGCTCCACGCCCTCTGGGGGGGTGGAGGAGGGGCCATCAACCCTCCCCCTGCGGGTGGCCCTGCGAGGCTAGCGAGGCGGGGGTGGGGGGGGCCGGTGACGGCGACAGGAAGCAGTGCCCACAGTGAGGGCTCCCTGTTGGCCCGGTGGAGTCAGAGCCGTCTCCCGTCCCCCCCCTACCCCCCCCCCCACCCCTGCCTGCTTAGGGGAGGTCCATCCTGCCTCCGGCCAAGACAGAAGCAGAAGACAGCAGCTCGAGCTCTGCTCCCTCCCCTGAGGTGGGACACCATCAGAGGCCACTGCGCACCCCGCATCTCAGAAATGTCAGGTTTGCTCAAAATGCGACAGAGCGAGGCCACCTGTCCCCTGCGCCTGAAGCTGCAGTCATACCGCGCACGGCCGAGGGTTTGTGCCCTGCTGTGGAGGAGCGGCCGCGGTGTTGGGACAAGACTGGGACCCGCTGAGGATCGGGGAGGGGACAGACACCATCTCATTTGCTGTGGTCCACTGGTGTGTCGAGGAACCGGCCTGAGAAGTTCTGGGGACATTCGAGGTTTCCCACAGCAGAGTCACAAGGAGGGTACACACTGGCGGGGGCAGTGACCCCGAGATTTCATCCACAGAACCTGATTCCTACAGAACGAAAGCAAGCAAACGGGCGAAATTCTCAGTAGCCTAGAATCTTCAGGGAAAGTGCTGCCCCAAATTACAGAGTGTCTTCATCCAGATGAATTTGTCTCAAGATGTAATTATTTCCACCATTTTGGAAGGAAGTCATTCTCCTGAGTCTTTGAAGGCAGAGCTGTGTCTTGCTCTCTGTCACCCCTGGTGCCCAGCTGTGATGCTGTGACGGCTGTTCCCCAACGTCTCCTTGTCTTTTCTTCCTTCTAACAGGACCTCTGTATTGTTGGGAGCCATAGTAAAAACCCACATTTCCCATTCTCCTTGCACATGGAGGCAGCCAATAAGATGTAAACAAAATTGGGTAAAGCTTCCATTTAAGCTGTGAAAGAGGTTGAGTCAGATGGAAAGTACGCCTTTCTTTTTTTTTTTTTTTTTTTTTGCCATTTCCCCTTCCTTCTCCCTGCTGACTGGAATTTAGATGTGATGACTGGAACTGCAGCAGCCATCCTGTGATCATGAGGTGACTTTGAGACTGGACGCAACATGCTAAGGATGGTGAAGCAGAAAGATAGAGGGTTACTAATGAAATCTAGAAGCCACCATACCTATCCTGGACTCCTCACCTCTGGGTTTCCTGTTATGTGAGAGAAAAATATCCCCTACAGCTTGTTGAAACCACTCTTATTTGAGGCCCTATAACTGGCAGCCAAAAACAATAGCTAACTAATATGCTAACAAAGAGCCTGGCCCGGAGCAGGGGCTGTTGGGAGACTGGATGAACGCATGGTATGGTCCACAATAAGCCCTGAAGACCTGGAGGTGTGCCAGACCATTTGTCTTCCCACGTGCTGGCTGGGATTTCTGTGCCGACTTCCCGTTTACCACCCTTCCTTTTAGAACCTTTCTGCTGCCAGGTGTCCCTCCTCTAACCGTTTCTAGTTTGTTCCTTCTGATCTGCTGTTAGTTTAGAAACCTAGTGTCTGAGCTTGTTGGGGTTGGGTGTTGAGTAAGAGCATGTGGGCTGGGAGTGGGAGGCTGGAGGCTTGCCCCTGAGTGTGGGTGGGTGACAGGCTTTGGTGGGGGAACCCTCCTCCACGTGTTTTGGCTGCTCAGAGCCTTTTTACTCACCCCCAGTTTGTGCCACGTTTTAAACAAGCCAGTCTGCTGCAGAGCTCGCCCTGAAAGGTGGGAACTCTGAGAACCGGGGGCGGGGAGGGGAGGCGACCTTAGGTGATCCGCTGTAACTGCTGCTGGCCCTGGAGTAGCAAAGACACGAGATGGCCAGTGGGGTTCTCGTGGTCCTTCCACTTCCGCTCAGGCGCTCTGCTGTCCTGGGGCTCTGGCTTCCTGGCTCCCAGATCCAGGTTCTCGGGTCGGCTCTTTCCTTTCAGCTCCGAGGTCCCATCTTCCGTGCTCGCCCGGTGCGATGGCGTGGACACCTTTCTCCGGAGCCCCAGGGCGGCCCAGCGATGTTGAGGGTCTCCTGCCAGAGACGCAGGGCGTCTGATCTCACCGGGAGGGCCGCACGGGTCTGAGGAGGAGTCTAGACCCGCTTATGTGTCACCATCAGGAGCCATCGGATGATCAGCTGGGTCGGCTCTGGACCCAGATCCAAGTTCTAACAAGGCCGGGTGACGCCAACCAGTGAGGGTTTTGAGGCCTTTTCTCTTCGTCTCCTTTAAAGAGGTGCGATCGAGACAGTCTTTCCAAAGAAAATTCAAGTGCATGGAGGCATATAGCAAGCAGCCGAAGACGAGGAAGGAGGAGGATAAAGAGTGAGTGAGGCAGATACGGAAGACTGAAGGGAATGCTTCCCGACTGGAAGCGCCGTGTGGCCTCATGTCGGTCACGCTTCCACTGACCCTTCATTTCCGATTCAGCCACAAGGACGCACGTAGGAAAGACGTGGGAGCACGAGAGAGAGGACCATGCGGAGGGCAGCCTGGGCTCAGGGGACCCGGGCGAGCGCCAAGGAGGCCTTTGGTGCCTTCGCGACCAAGCTGCACTGCGGCCTTGTCGGGAGCGGCCTCAGTTTCCCTACAGAGCACAGCACAGCGGTGCCGGAGCCTGGCGCTCGAGAGCCGCGTGCAGGCCTCACCCCAGCGCGCGTGTCACTGCTCCGCGTTTACGCGGCCCTGCGCTGCTGGGTCCTGGATGCCGACGCTCCACGCGGACGTGGGCGGCGTCAGAGCGGAGGCTCCAGCGCGAGGGAGGAGCCCCAGGAGCCGGACCGGCTGAGGCACAGGGTTAGGGTCAGGGTCAGGGTCAGGGTCGAGTTAGGGTTAGGGTCAGGATCAGGGTCAGGGTTAGGGTTAGGGTAGGGTCTGCCGAGCACCCGGGACGGGGCCGGGCGGTCCGGTGCGAGCTGTCAGGGACAGGAGGCCGGCTGCTCAGCGGAAGGAGAGGAGCCTACAGCTGGCCCTGGGTGGGAAACACCTAACATGGCCGTCTCCCTGCGGGGCCTTAGTCGGGCGCCAGGCTGCTCTGCGCCACCCGCCCGCCTCGCGTGGTTCCCTCGCGCCTGCGCCCTGGGGTCCAGCCCTCGGACTGGGTGCAGCCTCTGTGCAGGAGGAGCTGCGCAGTTTCCTCAGTATACTTCATTTAATTACAGGCTGGCGCCTCCTTTGTGTTTGTTTCACTCAAAATTTTTTAAGTTACAAAGGTTTTACACGTTTGTTGCAAAACTCTTACAATACAGCGGAGAGGACGGCGCCCCCCCCCCCCCCCCATCCCCCGTTTCCCCGCGTGGAGTCGACCCTCCGAGTCGGGACGCGCACGGTCACACTTTTTCCTGCGCGGGCACATGCGACACAAGGGGATGACGCTGGATGCAGGTTTCTCATCCGCAACTTGTAGAATACCCGATACATCGTGGTCTCTCCAAGTCGATACACATTTATTTAACTCATTCCTTTCAGTCGGCGCCATCGTATTCTGTTGTGTGGATGTTTGATAATTTGTCGAGTAATTCTTTACTGAAAAGCATTTGCACTGTTCACAAAATTCCACTATTACAAAAAAAGAAAATGCCGCGATGAACGGTGGCCGTTTCCGGAGATGCAGTCCCGGCGCGCAGACGCCGGATCGGAGGGCGTCGCATCCGTTACCGGTCCACAGTCCTGTGCTCTTAGTGTAATAAACGAGCTTAAGGCCTAACCCGCCTGAGGGCCCCCGTCCGGGCCGGGCCGTCCTTCCCGGCTCCAGACGTCCCCCAGCGTGGCCCCGCCCGGGCGGGTGTGTCCACCCCCGCTGCCCCGCAGCCTGGGGACCTGCTCTCTGATGAGGATGTTCCCTCCTGTTCTCTGGCCTAAGGTGAGGCCGTTCTTGGCTTACGTGGCATTTACCGTTGAGTAGAATTCCGAGACTCTTTTCAGGCAAAGTCTTCCCTTCATAGAAGCTGCTGCCTGGAAGGTTTTGGGCAGTTTTGAATTTTTATTAAGAATCCGGCGATTGCCCCAGAGATTTCTCCATCCCACGCGGTACCATTGCTGATTGCTTCCAGAAAGGGAACCAGGAGAGTCTGGCGGTCGGCGCACAGCCGTTGCTGGCCCAAGCGCTGCGGTCTCTGCAGTCGGGCATCTCCCCGGAAGGACGGGACCTTCGGCGGGTGATGGATGAGCAGAGCCTAAGGCGAAGCCCCAGGGACAAGAGCACGGGGCCGTGGAGCCATCAGAGCAGACACTGCCCGACCAAGAGCGTCTGGGAGTCCGTGGGGACAGTGTCCCCCCCCCCCCCCCCCACCAGGCTCTCCCGGCTGCGGCTGCGACTGCAGCTACCGTGCGCTGTTCACTGACGGTTGGCTTCTGGCCCCTTCCCAGCCTCAAATAAACAAAGATGGTTTATCCTGGGCACGTGGGAGTTTCCCTCTGTAAACGGAAATTGTAGAGATGGGAGTGTGATGGAGCTGGTGTCTGGGCAGGGGTGAGCCGGCTGCATACCCACAGCAGACTCTCCCCCAGCACCCGACCTCTGACAGGGTGTGACGCAGGGAGTGGAAGGTGTCTGGGAACGAGTCATCCCCCTTCACCCTCTGGAACGTTCTGTCTCCCCCTCACCAAGAGCATGGTGCCCCACACGTCTGCTGTGACTCAGCTGAAGCTGTTGGATGACGTGACCCTCCGTGTAGCTCCACTGGAGGGTCCCTCTAATTCCGCATGTGTGCATGCACACATGTAATAGAGGTGAGAGTGTGGACCAGCAGTGTCCAGAGCTCTTTCTGTGATCATGGGGGCAGTCTACAATCTGTGCTGTCCAGGACGGCAGCCGCCAGCCGCCTGTGGCTGTGGAGCGCTTGAGGTGTGGCCAGTGTGACGAGGCACTGAGTGTTCACTGCACTTAATTTTAGTGAATTTTGATTCAAGTGGCCACATGGCTGGTGGCCGCCGTCCTGGACGGGGCTCCACGCCCCAGAGCTGCAGTTTCGCCTCATTTAGGCACCTGCTCACTCTCTGCCCAGCTCGTTTGTTCCACAGAGGGTCTCAGCGCCCGGCATGTGCTGGGCTGCGGCCCCAGAGCGTCCGGGCCGTGGGGCAAAGGCCCATCGTGGAGCCGGCTGTGGTGCCGTGTGCACAGTGCAGGAACAGGGCTGCACACGACGCAGCGTTCAGAAGGCATGCGAAGCTGTCTGAAGGGCCTCGCAGAACAGGTGGTGCTGAACCGTGTCTTCATACCATTATTTCTGAAATCCTGGGTCTCGGCACTTGTCTTTAGAGCAGACCTGGAAGTTCCAGCTCTAGCTGAGCCTCAATTTTACCTTCCAGAGTGGCTTTTCATCAGGTCCTGGCAAGCACACGCACAGAAACACTCTTCTCTCTTTTGGTATCATCGACAAATCCCTTAATCCGCCAGCTGATCCCGAGAGGAAATGGACTTTCGGCAGAGATGGGCATTCCTACGAGTCACGACAGCCATCTAGTCAGTGATGTTTCAACCAATAAGAAAACTAAGGCTCAGACGGGAAGTGATTTAGGTGAGCGTGCAGACGAGGTCCCTTCAGGGGCTGGGACAGGTGGGGCTTCCAAACCGGAGACATCCATCGCCTGAAGATAATTCTTGTCTATCCGTCTTAATTTGGAAATTAAAAGCATGATAACTTGAGAAAACAAACATTTTTGGCTGTCAAGAGTGAAGAACAGTTACTGCAAAAATGCAATCTAGAGTCAGGTTTGTGTACTGCCCGATGTTCTGATTCCTAAGGATGGCCGACGTTCTTGTCCAAACTCAATGTGGATTTAACATCCTGTGATATTGTGATTTATCAGAAGTATATATATTTGGCCATTTGAATGACCAAAATACATTTCTCAGGTGTATTTCATCTTTATCTACAGTTCCCAGCTCACAGCTTCCAAAACCCTTGGAATTCCTTCAGTGTTGAGAGTGATCAACGTGTCTCGTTTACCAGAGTGAAGGTGACCTTTGGGGGCTGGCTGCCGGGAGAACCAGCCGTGTGACCAAAGGATTGGCACTTTCAGCCCCACCCCCTGATTTCCAGCAAGGGGAGGGGCTTGAGGTGGAATCAGTCACCGATGGCCAATGACTTAGTCAGTCATGACTAGTAATGAAGCCTCCATAAAACTCAGAAAGCACAGCTCAGCGGCCTTTTGTTGGAGAGCTTCTGGTTGGTGGGCACGTGGAGGTGCTGGGAGAGTGGGGCGCCCAGGGGGGCACGGAAGCTCCACCCCCCTTTCTTTGTACCTTCCCTACGCATCTCTTCCATCTGGATGTTTGTCTGCATCCTGTATCATATCCTTTAATAAACTGATAAACCTAAGTGTTCCCCTGGGTTCTGTGAGCCGTTCCAACAAATTAATTGAACCCGAGGAAGGGTCGTTGGTCAGAAGTTCAGGTAACAACCCAGACTTGCAGCTGGCATCTTGAGCTGGAGGGAGTCACTGGAACCTCCAGTTTGTAGCTGGCTGGTCAGAAGTACAGGAAACAACCTGGGCTTGCGACTGGCGTCTAAGTGGAGGGAGGTCTTGTGGGACGGAGCCCTTCACCTGTGGAATCGGATTCTCTCTCTGGGTAGATGGTGCTAGAATTCAGTTGAATTCTGGGACACCCTGCCAGCGTCCATGTGCCTGTTGTTCTTGGGAGGACCCTCCACACGCGTGGACTTGGGTCCAGGAGCCCTTTGCACACGTCAGTGTCAGTTTAAACGGAAGGCAGGCTCACCTGTGAGCTCCCTGACCTCCACCCGGGAGCCCTCCTCCTCTGCAGCATCGTCAGTAGACGATTCCGTGGACTCAGCTGCCTGGCACCTTTGATGGAGCTTAGATCTCACCCAGCAGAGCCCCCGATTTCCTCTTCCTTATCTACAGACTGAGCGTTTGAGCAACACAAAGACCAGACGATGTAAGTGGACATGAAAAATCAGTAAGAGAAGTACAGTATTGGAAAGAGAGGCAAGGGTGTCCTCATTTTCAGAGGGCATGATGTCACACCTTGTTGGACACCAGATAGATATATCTGAAGAAGGTTTCTTGAATACTTTGCAATGAAGAAACTTGAAAGAAATTATTGAAAAGGAAATCACCCTTGCAAATTTAATAAAAGTATTTTAATACAAGGGTATAAAATAATTGAGAGATGACTAAGATCTTTTTATTTTTTATTATGAAATATTTTATACACATAATTGAATGTATATAATATGAAGGAGGTACTTAGCAAAATAAATGGAAGGAACACACAATACTCAGCTTAAGAAATACAGAATCTCTAGAAAGAAAACAATGTATAAAATATTATTGGAAGATATAAATAAAGATTTGAATAAGTAAATATACTGTGCTTCATATGGAAAGGCAAAATGTTATTGAAAGATGATTTTTCTTTATGGAGCATTTTATAGACAATGAAATCAGAATAAAAAAGCCAACAGGGTTTTTATTGGAAATATACAAGTGATACCAAGATTTATTTAAGAAAAACAAACATGAAATATTTATAATAAAGTTATTAGAAAAGTAATATTTAGAATACGTTTGTGAAAGTTCAAAACAAATCAGAATAAAGGGGCCAGAAATAAACTCACCTAAATATAAGAATTCAATGTTTAACATTTTGGAACAAGAAAGCAACAAAGGATTGTTGGATAAGTGTTGTTGGAAACCTGGATGCTGCATGTTGAGCATCTTTTACATACAGGTGTGTCCCTCTGGGTGGTCACCACCTTGGAGGGGAGATGGGCATGTGGACAGGCCGCCATGGCACGGAACGACAGGTGTTCCAGCAACATAGGCGGGACGGCTCTGGGGACACCCAGGGGAAGGACTCATCCCAGAAGCGGGGGCCACGAAGGCCTCGCAGAGGCAGAGAAAGCTGGGCCGGGACCTAAGGATGTGGGGGTCACCCAACAAAGGGGGACTGAGGCCAGGACGCCTGCATGAGTTCAGGGGGGAATAGAGGAGACCAAGGGGACAGTTCTCTCAGGAACCTTGTGATGAATGGGCAGAGAAACAAGGCAGGAGCTAGAGGCGAGTGTGGAGCGAAGGGAGGGAAATTCTCTGTGAAGAAGAGAGGCCTCCCGCACAGGGATGGTTCAACATCCACAAATCAATCAACGTGATACACCACATCAACAAACTGAGGAATAAAAACCACATGATCATCTCAATAGATGCAGAGAAGGCATTTGACAAGATCCAACAGCCATTTATGATAAAAACTCTGAACAAAATGGGCATAGAAGGAAACTACCTCAACATAATAAAGGCCATATATGACAAACCCATAGCCAACATCATACTCAATGGGCAAAAACTGAACCCCATCCCCCTGAAAACAGGAACGAGACAAGGATGCCCTCTATCACCACTCTTATTTAGCATAGTACTGGAGGTCCTGGCCAGAGCAATCAGGCAAGAAAAAGGAATAAAAGGAATCCAAATTGGGAGGGAAGAAGTGAAACTCTCGCTGTTTGCAGACGACATGATCTTATATATAGAAAACCCCAAAGAATCCATTGGAAAACTGTTAGAAGTAATCAACAACTACAGCAAAGTTGCAGGGTATAAAATCAATTTGCATAAATCAGTAGCATTTCTATACTCCAGTAATGAACCAACAGAAAAAGAACTCAAGAATACAATACCATTCACAATCACAACAAAAAGAATAAAATACCTTGGGGTAAATTTAACTAAGGAAGTGAAGGACCTATATAATGAAAATTACAAGGCCTTTCTGAGAGAATTGGATGACGACATAAGGAGATGGAAAGACATTCCATGTACATGGATTGGAAGAATAAACATAGTTAAAATGTCCATTCTACCTAAAGCAATCTACAGATTCAACGCCATCCCAATCAGAATCCCAATGACATTCTTTACAGAATTAGAACAAAGAATCCTAAAATTCATATGGGGCAACAAAAGACCCCGAATTTCTAAAGCAATCCTGAGAAAAAAGAACAAAACGGGAGGCATCACAATCCCTGACTTCAAAACATACTACAAAGCTACAGTAATCAAAACAGCATGGTACTGGTACAAAAACAGGTGCACAGATCAATGGAACAGAATTGAAAGCCCAGAAATAAAACCACACATCTATGGACAGCTTATCTTTGACAAAGGAGCTGAGGGCATACAATGGAGAAAAGAAAGTCTTTTCAACAAATGGTGCTGGGAAAACTGGAAAGCCACATGTAAAAGAATGAAAATTGACCATTCTTTTTCACCATTCACCAAAATAAACTCAAAATGGATTAAAGACCTAAAGGTGAGACCTGAAACCATAAGGCTTCTGGAAGAAAACGTAGGCAGTACACTCTTTGACATCAGTATTAAAAGGATCTTTTCGGACACCATGCCTTCTCAGAGAAGGGAAACAATAGAAAGAATAAACAAATGGGACTTCATCAGATTAAAGAGCTTCTTCAAGGCAAATGAAAACAGGATTGAAACAAAAAAACAACCCACTAACTGGGAAAAAATATTTGCAAGTCATATATCTGACAAAGGCTTAATATCCTTAATATATAAAGAACTCTCGCAATTCAAGCACAAAACATCAAACAGCCCAATCAAAAAATGGGCTGGAGACATGAACAGACATTTCTCCAAAGAAGATATACTGATGGCCAATAGGCACATGAAAAGATGCTCATCATCGCTGATCATCAGGGAAATGCAAATCAAAACTACACTAAGATATCACCTTACACTCGTTAGAATGACAAAAATATCTAAAACTAATAGCAACAAATGTTGGAGAGGTTGCGGAGAAAAAGGAACCCTCATACACTGCTGGTGGGAATGCAAGCTGGTGCAGCCACTATGGAAAACAGTATGGAGATTCCTCAAAAAACTAAAAATAGAACTACCATACGATCCAGCCATCCCACTACTGGGTATTTATCCAAAGAGCCTGAAGTCAGCAATCCCAAAAGTCCTGTGCATCCCAATGTTTATTGCAGCACTGTTTACAATGGCCAAGACGTGGAAGCAACCTAAATGCCCATCAACAGACGAATGGATAAAGAAGATGTGGTACATATATACAATGGAATACTACTCAGCTGCAAAACAGAACAAAATCATTCCATTTGCAATAACATGGATGGACCTTGAGAGAATTATGTTAAGTGAAATAAGCCAGCGAGAGAAGGATAATCTGTGTATGACTCCATTCATATGAGGAATTTAAAATTATGGACTAAGAACAGTTTAGTGGGTACCAGGGGAAAGGTGGGGTGGGGGGTGGGCACAAAGGGTGAAGTGGTGCACCTACAACATGACTGACAAACATTAATGTACAATTGAAATTTCACAAGATTGTAACCTATCAATAACTCAATAAAAAAAAAAATAAAAAAGAAGAGAGGCCTCCCGCCATGGAAATGGGAGGAGAGCGTCAGTGCGGGGGCCTGAGGATACAGGGGAGAGAGCTCAAGTCTGGGAGGAGGAAGGATGGAGCGAGGTCTCCACAGAGGTA